TAAGGCAACTACTATGGAGAGTGTGCTGTTTTACATTTTACACTAATGTACCTTATTTTTTATAAAGTACTGTATTACGAAATTGTAGTTCTCTACAACAGCTAAATATTTTTTTATGACATTTACAATAGCAAACAAGCTGGCAGCCCATCTGATGGAAATAGGTAACAGTCGCCTATAGACATGAACAGTACCATGGATATAACAAAGTATACCGTATCGTCCATGATACCTTTCATGTGTTGACATGAACTGTGGGGAACCTGGGGACTAAGGTGTTATGCCTGTGTTCCCTATAATTTTACTGTCATATCTTATCCTTCAAACCGAAACACAGTCATGCAAATACAACTTCTTCGCGGTAGGAACACACGTGGGACAGAGGTACCCATGCAAACGATTTTTGTACAGATTTTCACTAGTAATTTAAAAAATGTTGTCTAAACCGTACTATTTACCGGGATAAAAACTATCGCCTTTTCCTAAGTTTGAGCAAACAACACATAGTCACAAAATTTCATTAAATCAGTTTAGCAGTCATGTCGGTTATTTTGGTTCTTTTGCGGATATCCTCGATTCGAATTCTATCGCGCAAAGAGACTCCGAGCAGAAGCCTCTCCATAGCCTGCTGAGTAATTTGAAGCTTTTGCATACGGACAATCGTGTAGGACCATGTTTCGGTTCCATAAGTCATTACTGGCAACACGCACTGGTTAAAGCTAAGCCTTAATTATTGTAAAACTTACACCGCAGTTCACAGGTAAATAAGAGAAGAGAGAAGTAAACATATAACCAGACATTACAAACATATATTCAAGGGGGGAAAGGGATTGTTAGTAATGGAGACTGAGAATCTCATTGCTAGCAATATACCCAACCAGGTCGACCTCCTCGCGGTTCCCCTGGAAACTATCATGGTTAATTCCTGATGAATTCATCATGATGGGCTAACTGGCCTGTTTTCATTCTCATCTATCACCCTTCACTGGTGCTCCGTCAGCGTATCCCGTTAGCGCAGGCGGGGTTACCATACCATTTTCACCCATCAAAAAAAAACCATATATTCAAAATGTTATGTTGTAAGTAACATGTACCATACATACTTACTCATCGTTTTGTGAGTGAAATGAATTATCCTTTGGCGTGTTCTTTGTGTTCAAGACACATTGACCTTTAGTCGCGCTCTTTGTCTGTCCGCCAGGTCACCGAAGAGGACCCGGTCAGTCAGGTACCATAAAACATGCCACCTGTTGCACATGCAACGGTAAGTGATGAAACCCGTCGCCACCATAAATGGTAAGACTTTTATTGAAGGCCGTTTTGTTCGAAAAGTAATTGCACGTGTCAAATTTTTTATTGTATATTTTCGGGTGTATAAAAAATAATAATAAATGACAATATTTCTTATATAATTTTGAATGGCAAACAAGTTACTTACTGTCCGACTTGACCCACTGAAACTGCGCAGAGATGTTGCATCTCTGTGCATCTTCTACCGAATTTATCATGGGAAGTGTTCTGAGGAATTGTTCGGATTGATACCTGCTGCTGATTTTCACCACCGTACAACCCGCCACAAACTAAAGTTTCATCCCAATCATCTGGACGAGTGGCGGTCTTCCACCGTGCGTTTTTCAAGGCACTTTCTTCCACGCACAACCATTCTTTGGAATCAACTTCCAGCAGCAGTATTTCCGAACCGATACGACAACATAACCTTCAAGAAAAGAGTATATTCCTTTTTAAAAGGCCGGCAGCACACCTGCAATGCCGCTGGTGTTGTGGGTGATCATGGGCGGCGGTAGTTACTTACCATCAGGTGAGCCGCATGCTCGTTTGCCCCCTGTGTTGTAAAAAAAAGTAGATAGTCCACTTTATGGAAAGTGAAGGACATAAAGAACGCCATAGACATTACTGCATACTTCGTAATATACATGGTACTAGCATATAAGGCTAATGTGTTATGCCGTCGTAATACGTAATTTCACTGCCATATTCCATCTATCCATTGGCCGTGTGGTCCCGGTGTAGAATAGGTATCCTTCCTTTCCCGTAGGTGTCGTAAGAGACGACTATGGGAGGGCGAGGGATGGGCAGCAGCGTCCCTCTTAAAACATCTCTGAAGCTAAATATGATGATATATATATATATATATATATATATATATATATATATATATATATATATATATATATATATATATATATATAATCTGAAAATGCAAGGAAGGTATTGTTGGTTTGGTATTCGGTAGTTCGGTACGCGGTTCTTCCTGGAAACTATCGTGGTTAACTTTTAAGGAATTCATCACAACAGGTCAATTGACCCGACTTTATCCTCATCGTTTTATCCTCTATTGATATCTAGTGATGGCCGAGTCTCGACTATCGAGTCAAGCTGACTATAAAATGTCGAGTGATAATAAAATTTTAACTAGATAATGTCTCTACATGGGAGATATTTAAGAAAAAAAAGATATGAGGGGTAAGACAAATAAATAACAAAATAATAATTTTTAGAAATTTTGTGAATCTATTTGTCTGTCTGTCTCCTGTTTCGGCAACACGCTGAATCTACTGCATGAAATTGGATGCGGTTTTCACAGCTGTGTTTCTGAATATCTAACTTAAAATCTGGTGTGTTTCGTCTGGACATAACATCCAGAAATGGATTTATTTTATTGATTTCCCTATTTTTAAAATCTATTCGTACAAAATAGCGGGCAAAAAGTTATTATTTAATAGGTACTCAGTTACACGAATACTTAATATATAGAATTCGGATACACGGAATTCGAATAAAAGTTTCGAGTATTTATCGCACTCGAATAGTATACGAATATTTATCATAAGGTACTTTTTTCTGTTCCAAAATTTTATTAATATTTTCCCTTAATTAACGAAGGAAATATTATAAGATTACTGAACATTTATAACCCTTATAAAACAAAATTTTAAAATAATTATTCAAAAAGTATCTACTCAAGTTTAAAAATGTGCTAGATTACCCATACAAGTTCAAATACTTGTCTGAGTCCTCAGACTCGGTTTAGGATTCGATTTTTTTCAATCGGCTCTTAAAAAAGAGGTTATCAGTTCGTTTGTATTTCTTTTATATTTGTTATCTCATATCCGATTTGGAAAATTCTTTTTTTTATTTGAATGGACATATTTTTGGACTGGTCTCCTAGATATCATATCAAAATCGGTTCGGTAGTTAAGTTTATAAATCAAAATAATTGGTTTTACTACGACTGAAGTCGTTGTTATCTTGTGGGACAAAATCTTATATTATTCAACGAATATCAAATTACTCGAATACCAAAAATCGCTAACTCGGCACATCACTATTGGTAGCCCGTTTTTGAACATCAGCATAGATGGCATCAGTCTATTTTCATCCATTAAAAATACTGGGAGTGCGATATTCTTTCCAAGAAATAATAATAATACTTAACGACCGTTTGTTGCTATGAAATACGCGAGAATGTATGTAATGTATGAACATATAAACTTGTTATATTTTCACGGCTCGCTGTAACATCAAATGGACTTGTTCGGATATTTGCTACATTTTTCATGGTCTGCGAGTCATCGACCGAGCACTCGTGCGCAGCGTTCGCGGCGCAGAGAAAGAATCCGCACTGTGCGTTGCAGTTTCCACTAATAATGTGGTAAGTACACACTATAGTATGTTTCAATAGAACTTCATGAAAAGTAACCAAGTTTTATTAACTTTTAGACTTACGCGTTGCATAGTTTTTGGTTTATAAGACACGGGAATTAAAGTGATAATTTAGGTAAACTATTTTAATAAGTTTATTTGTGACCGCGGTCAGTTTAACATGCTAAAAACGTCTAGATAACACTGGTGTTTATATTGTTATAGTTTACCTAAATGTTCGTGTTAATTCTTGTCTCTTATAAACCATCAACTAAGTTTTGTTGAAATTATTACAAAAGTACTCTCAAATTTAAATAAATACATATATAATATATAATAATAATATAAGACTACATATATATATATATATATATATATATATATATATATATATATATATATATATATATATATATATATATATATAGTCTTATATTATTATTTATTCTTTAAGAATATGCCGCTCCTATATGTGCATCCATGTACAGACACTTATATATTTCAAGATAGATCTATTATGATTAAGTTTTGTTATTTTTTTAAACCTAAGCCTGCATTAATGGCATATGCTAGCGGACTACTAGTGAGGAATGGTGAGTGAAGACAAAATTAGATCAGTTGGCCTAAAGTGATGAATTTACCGTGAATTAATTACAATTGCTTCCAGGAAGGACCGCGTGGAGGTTGATTGAATAGGGTATATGGATAGCAAAGGGACAGCTAGGCTCTTTTATTAACATTCTCTTAGTGAGATATTGCAGTAAACTAATTATTCCATATTTAAATTCATGAACACATTAAGATTTTGTTATATTATGTAAAATATATTTTTTTTTTGTAAATTGTTTGATTTTAATAATAATATATCACATATCGTAGTATAATATGTGTATCATTAAATTCAAATTAATGACGTCAATGAACATAATATATAGCGAAAATAGATATAATCTATGAATTCCTAATATAGAAATAATTTATTTTTTTAATATGTCGACTGACCAGTTGCTTTTTCGATGTAATCGTACTTTGAACTCCATAAAATGGTCGCATTGAAAGTAGATATTATTCTAATTATCTTCAAAGTTATCAAATAAAAATTAGATCTCACCAACATTTTATAATATTACCAGCTAATCTTTAACAGTTTGATCTGAATCAGAATCAGTTGTTCTCCTTGCACTTGCAAAGTTCAAGAGCCCCGTAAAACAGTTGTTTACGTTATCAGTCAACCGCGAATTCCGTGCGGGTATTACTTTGCGCTGACAGTGTGCTCCCACCTTAACGCCACTTGCTTTTACCTTGCATTATCTAGATTCATTTATCTCAAATACCCTCAAAGAGTGTAGTCTTTCTATGTAACGCGCGTTCGCCGGTCGTGTTCGGTGCAAACTCAGTTGTTTGACTTTACTCGATTGTTTTATAGTGTGATTTATGTGTGTGTTTGTGCTAACGGTACACAGGGAATAGCGGTCACTCTCGGCAGAGTTGAGGTAAGTGAGGCCCTACGCATTGTCTATTTATATAGGTCGTTGTATTGCATAGGTCAGCGCATTACCGTTTGTGATGCGAAAGAGTTTTGTTGCAACGATTAATATTTGAATGTAATTTTCGTGTTTCGTGGCAACGGGTGAGAGGTACCTTGGGTATTATATATATTTACACAGAAAAATATTGGAAGCGATAAGAAATAAAACCTTTTATTTTAATGTATGATAATAGTAATCCCGCCTGCTCTAACGGTATACACTGGCTGGGCACTAGTAAGAGATGATTTTGAAAATGAAAAGGCAGGTCAGTTTGCCTATCGTGATGAATACACCTGGAAATCAGTACGATGGTTTTTCTGGGCGTACCACGGGGAAGTCGACCTGACGGAGGATATTGCTAGCAATGGGGCTGGTAGTTTGCGTTATTAGAAATCCCCTTTTTTCCATTAAAAACGGGTAGGAGTGACTTTAATTTTTGGACCATGTTTTGATGTATGGAAAAATGAGTTTTGATGAGCAATATATTTTCCAGCGGAGAGCAAAAAGCGTTTGTTATATTGTTATGGTGCTATTAATAATTATAACGACAATTACCACTTTTTATCTCATTGACACGAGTAAAGTCTTTCGATTAAAAAAAGAATCAACAAATCGGGATTACAGAAGAAAAATACAATAATTGTGAAAAATACAATAATTTTTGAAATCTGTAGGTATTTACTATGCTCTTGCGGAGCAATAAGCGTAATGGTGTTTATCTCTTCTAATGTTTTGTTATGGTAAACAATACCTAGTTACTATTATCACTTTAGTATTAGGTACTTGCATAATTTTTTTCTAGATCACATGTTAAAGTTGTGGAAATTTTCAGTAAGTACAGTTATTCGAGTAAAAATATAAACACGCTTTCTTTTTTTTTTATTACAGATACGACATGTGATCATTCCATTATGAGCAAACCCAGAAATATGGGGGGAAAGGGATTGTTAGTAATGGAGACTGAGAATCCCATTGCTAGCAATATACCCAACCAGGTCGTCTTCCCCGCGGTTCGCCTTGGAAACTATCATGGTTAATTCCTGATGAATTCATCATGATGGGCTAACTGGTCTGTTTTCATTCTCATCTATCACCTTTCACTGGTGCTCCGCCAGCATACCCCGTTACCGTACCCCGCCTACGGGTACCATACCATACCATTTTCACCTATAAAAAAAAACCCAGTATAATGGTCCATAAATACAATAAACTGAAAAGAGAATTATTTACTCTCAACGGTTGACTAGTATTAACATTCTACTCTTGAGCAGGATTCAATGTCATAAGAATCGATTTTTTTTTCAAAATAGATGATAATGGAATGATGATTCTATATCCTTGCTGGGTACTAGTAAGTAATGATTGGTGAAGATGTAATCAGGTCACTTACCTCATCGTAATGAATTTATTAGGAATTAACCACGATAATTTCTAAGGTGTATTATGATTGTTGACCTGACAACGTCAACTGGCAATGGGGACGTTTGTCCCCATTACCAAAAATCTCTCTAAGAGCTGTTTAATTCGTTCAGACAGTTTAGTGTTTATTATTTCATTTTGTAGTATTTTGTAGTTTATTTATTTCATTTTGTTTTTCACTCTTCTTGTACTGGGACGGTGCTTTGTTTCCTTTGTTAGTACGACCCAAAATAAAGAAGTAGTACCTAACTCGTTGTGTGTCATACCATGTACAATTTATTTTTTAACCGACTTAAAAGAAGGGATCCTCAATTGAACGGTATTTTTTTATGTTTATTACCTCATAATTCCGTCAGTAATAAATTGATTTGGACTCAAATAAGTTTTATCAAAATAGATTTAGTAGTTTAGTTTTTAAATCAAAATAATTAACTTTGTCACGATCGTAGTCGGTTTTTTTTTAAATAAAAACAATCTCAACTGTTTTGTGTTCGTAATTGTCAAGACATAGTTTGTCAATCAATAGATAAAATATACTATGTGCTAAGTTAGGACATAACCTAGTCGTATACAAAATTTTATTCAAATCTCATTCAGTACTTTTTACGTGCAAGACAAATTAACATCCATCAATCGTTACAAACTTTCTCATTTACAATATTAATAGAATAGGATATTTATACACACTTTCAGATTCAAAACAAATAAATCCATTCAAATTGTTATGTCATAATTAGACAGTCGTTTTACGAAAGTATCGATAAATTGAATCTGTCACAGAATTTCTAATTAGCTAGTAAATGACAAATCATCTATGTAACAGTGATATAAACGGTCTATTATTTTTTAAATTTGATTTTTTTTAAATAAATATTTATATACTGGTTTGTATCTGCGACTACAACTATTTTTATTGAGTTTACAATATGCAATGAGCTGTCTGTGGTATAAAAAAATTATCGGGATATAAAGAAGCTAGACTAAGTTCTTCTCCAGTCCATATAGTATCCATAATAAATTTTATAGTAATTGGTTAAACTTTTAAAGTAACAAAAACTAACAAACAAAGTCACTTTTACTTTTATAACATTAGGATAAGGATGTATTATTATTATAGTTGGATAGATTTTTAACGAATTTACTATGTTTGTCGTTTCTCGCAGAACTTAGAGCTCGTCTTGGCAGATAACTTCACTTTTGTGTAAAGGTGTATAGCTATATATGTATGTATATACATGGATACAGTTTTGTGATAATCATGTCGCGCTTATCTAATCTGAGTATGAATAAAAAGACCACACAGTTTTAATGTCATCAGATTAATTAAGAGCGTTCATAATCTTTTACCGTAGTGTGGCAACGTCGCAGTTAGCTGTCAATTTTCAAAAACAAATGAACAATTTTAAATGTTTCCGATTGATTGTTTAAAAAGTGCTCTGCTAGCGAACTAAACCTTTAATAATAGAATACATTGCATGTAATTTTTTTTTACAACACAGGTGGCAAACGAGCATGCGGCTCACCTGATGGTAAGTGTTTACCGCCGCCCGTGATCACCCACAACACCAACGGCATTGCAGGTGTGCTGCCGGCCACTAAACCTCATATTTTGCTTCGGAATTTTTCAAATACATTTTTGCCATCAAAATTCAAATTTTCAGAGACAGTGAGAATATTATTGCATGATTAACGTTTTAATTCGCTAACAAAGCACTTTTTTAATAAACAATTAGAAGCATTGAGAACTGATTAATTGTTTTTGTCAATTTTTTTGCTTGACAAATTGTCATTTTTTTGCTTGTGACGTTGCCAAACTTCTTTATTAACGCTCTTAAGAAGTATGGGTGGCAATATATAGCAATATCTATATATTTTAGCTACAATATTTATATACTGGCTAATAAAGAATATATTAAAAAAATATAACATATTCTAAAATAGATATCCGACCGATATGGGTGATATCAGATATTGTTAATAATTTATTAAATATTATAATAGTGCATGTGGTGTTCGCCTGTAAAAGATTTTTACATTAGGCAAAATTATTTTTTGTGTTATTAAGTTGCATGTAAAATGTAAAAGTTGTATGTGAACCTTATTAAATGAATAAATAAAAAATAAATATCGAAATGGGTGACGACCTCTTTCCACCATTAATATTCAGAACAACCCAATATATAGATATCGGATCAGTATCCATATTACCTATACTTATTAGGAAGTAGTCATACAACATACAGCTGTATGTACGTTGCTTTATCACTTAAGGTTGATATTACGAGCTATTGAGGAAGTTTTTTTTTTTTTTTATACAACTTAGAATGGCAAACAAGCTGACGGCCCACCTGATGGAAAGTGGTAACCGTCGCCTATAGACATGAGCAGTACCATGGACATAACAGAGTATACTGTTTCGCCAATGATACTCCCCATGCGTTGCCATTCCTGAGGACTCAGGTGTTATTCCTCTGTACCCAGTAAATTCACGCCATATCCCGCCCTTCAAACCGAAACACAGCCATGCAAACACAACTGCTTCAGGGTTGAAACACGAGTGGGACAGAGGTACCCAAGCAATCGACTTTTGTACAAAGTCTCCCTCTGGTATCTTATAATCTTGTTTATATCTAATCAGTTGATGACTTAAAGCAAAACAATAATTTGTCTCCCTTTATGCGTTCTTATGTGTAATGACCACTTCAAATTGTGTAAAGAAGTTAAAAAGTAATAAAAATTACTTAAGCACAATTTAATAATTGAACGAAATTTATATAATTTATGAAAGACTTAAATGAAAGCCTTACTGTACTTATACAATTGTATCGTTATGTTTGTAAATTGTCTTGTTTATTTCCTATATTGTATAATACAAATAAAGTATACTCATTCATTCATTCATTCAAAGATTATAACAATCGTAGAATCACTACTAAATTTTTTTTATAGTTGTCATTTCTGACCAGTATTTTTTAATGGGTGAAAATAGTCTGGTAACTCCGCCTGTACTATCGATATACGTAGGCAGGGTACCAGTAAGGGATGATAGGTGAGAATAAAAGTAGGTCAGTTAATTCAACATGATAAATTCCACAAGAATTAATCACGATGGTTTATAGAGAATACCGCGTGGAAGTCGACCTGACTATATTGCTAGCAATGAAGGTGTTCGAACCTATTACTATATACCTTATACTACAATCCCTTTCCCTAACCAGTTTTTTTAATGAATGATAATGGAATGGTAACCCCATCCGCGCTATCGGTATACACCGGCGGGGCACCAGTGAAGGATCATTGATGAGGATGAAGTAGGTCAGTTAGCCCATCGTGACGAATTCAACAAGAATTGTTAACGATGGTTTCTAGGGGGAACCATGTGGATGTCGACCTAATAAGGCATATTGCTAGCAATGGGGCTGTCAAACTCCATTGCTAACAATCCCTTTACCCCTCCCTGACCAGTTCTGCCTTATGACAACTTCGTGGGGTTCAATAAGCGTCAATAATCGAAACCATTAAATGCCATTATATCACGCGCGCAA